AAATGTATAAGCATACGATGCTTCTAGAACATTCCATTGAACAATATTATAATTTACAATATATACTGCAATAAACTAACATCTGACTCTATTTCCGGATAACATAATATTTGTACGCTTGATATGTATTGACTGATTTGTTTAACTAATGGTTTTTAATAACTAATAACGTCCTAATTGTAAAATATGTTTCTATCCTTCTCTAGAATAACGCGAGAATACCAGGAAATTCGGGGCAAGCATCGCGGCACGTAGGCATATAGCATTGCGGAATTTTCCATATAGACTCGATTTGTCTAATGTCGCGGTCGGTAAGGGAGAAATACAATCGATAATTGAAGAAATGACACTGCAATAAAAGTTTGAAAATTCTTCCGGGATGTTACAAATGTGTATCCATCCTTGATCCATCAGTCATAATGTGATCTAGATGCTGAATTCTTCTTTTTCTTTCTTAATTTCAGTTGATTGATGTATACCTAAAAATATTTAGGAATATTAATTAATTAATATAATGAATAAATAATAAATTCATGCACTCTCCCTTAAAAGCTATAATAAATACAAGATAAGTAACATAATAAACTAACCTTTCTACATCTTTCGGGAATCTAAACAAAGTTTCTTTTATTCCACGTTTTTCACTCGTTATACTTTAATAGCCTTTTATACAACACCATTTTGCTTCACACTTTATATATATATTTATTTATTTATTTAAAAAAGTAGGTGACAAAAATAACGAGCATATGTGCTATTACCAGTTATTCACAACCGCCATGTTGCTGGTTGTGCGATTCGGTCATGCGCGAGTGACAAATATTAGGCCACTTTTGGGCAGAGTGAGCCTACTGTGCTTTCTTATACTGTGGTGACATGGTGAATGGACCTTGGACTGTGGAGTAGAGAGGGTAGCGATCCGCGTTACCTTGTGATTTTATACTACAGAGAAGATAGAGAAGATAGAAGAAGAGAAGATAGAGTAAGATTATTTTGAAGTCTGAATAACTGTGAAGATATAAAGAAATATATCTGTTAGTGTTTATTATTGTATCAATCGTTTCCAACTTTCTTTAACGAGCAAACAGACCAGTTTGCTATTCAGTATATGGAGGCCAGAATTCCTCCGAATAATCCGTAGTCATGTTAACATAACTTTCATTTATACGTACGCGCCCTACCTGAGCATTAGATCTGTCAAAATACGACAAAAATATAATTATAACGTTTACAGAATTGGCGCCCAACGTGGGGCTTACCAAAAGTATATAAATAATGTTTACAAAATTGGCGCCCAACATGGGGCTCACACAAAGTATATAAATAACTGTGGGATTGAAATGAACCAAGACATGTTTAAAATAATTTTAATTTAATATAAATCTATAATATTGGCTCTTTCTCACTAATTTACAACACTTGCTCTGCTCTCGCTAACTTATTCGCTTTCTTTTCTCGCTAACTCAGAATTCTCACAATAGACTGTTCTGTCCTCATTTAGCCTTCGTAAATATACCAATTACTCACTCACATTCTCACATACACAGATTTTGGGGTTATCGTTCTTAATATTTCACTCGTACTCTCTTTTACTCGTTCTCTCGATTATTTACCTGTCGTTTATATCTTCGGTGATCGACAGCTAATTGGCGGCTTTAACAAGAGCTAGTATTTGTTTTTCTTATTCCGTTTCTTGATATGCTCCTAACTGTCGTATCGTTCGAATCCTAACGGCTTGACTTTCTACAAAACGTTTACACATATATGTAACATATATTGTAGTATAAGCGATGTACTAGGAAAGAATATAAGGCAAATATTGTAAAATATAATGCAATATAAGTTTCAACAGTGGTACATGTATATTAACCCTTAACAGAGCAGAAGTATTTCAAGTTTATTTTTTGTCAGGTCCGAGCTGTTTTTCATTGAAAGAGAAACTGTGTATTAAGCATTTTTATATCAAATATAGAAAAGAAAATATTTATTTTTTTCTAATAAAATAACACATACTAACTTCAACTGTACAGAATACTTGCAATAAATGAAAATATCATGTCCCATCAATGGTAGCATTGGTCTGTTAGCTTTCAGTTTGTTTACGAAAAATGTCTTTTTAGGAGTATAAATTTGATAGTATGATTTCAAGTAACATGCGTAGCTAAGCCAATAGTCAAAACAATCGAGACCCTAGCAAAATCAACAACAACAAACGTAGCTTAAAATGTAATCAGTTATCATATGCTATGTAAAAGGAGAAGGAATTCATTTCACTTAAATATTAATTATTATTTATGTATCGCATGAAACTTTTCCAATTACTCCGAAAAGCGAACTCAGGTGGAATGTAAATTAATAGTCTGAATATAATGTTTTCATTTATTTATTTAACAAGTCTAACCGAAGACCAAGTAATCTTTACAAATTGCAAAGATGAAATGAACTTACCACTCGTAATAACAGAAGTGAACTCTAAATATTGCAAACCAAAGTGCTCACTCTAACTTGTAGAATCAAAGTAACTACTTACTAAAAGTAGTACAAACACAAATGAAGGTTCCGAGGTCCTCCCTCTTTTTATATGTATTATAAATTCTCCTGAGACGTCTTCTAGCAACCACGCCAATTTCGGCTTGTCTACGACCGAACTGCCGTGTCGCGTGCCCAATACTGACGGCTCGTTGGCAACTTGTCGGTATCCGCCATCAGAAGGAGCGGTCCGCACTTTTGTATGTGTTTCTGGAAAATATAAAGAGACGTCGCCGAAGGATGTGGCTTTTTCTTATTCGCCGAAATATGTATACACTAAGGTTCGCCGACGTACAGCGGCCGCATAGATAGTTATTAATTTCCATTTTACTAGGAATCACAATCGTGTACATTTCATAGAAAATTAATTATTTACCATTTTCGAATGTTAGCGATCCCGTAGACAGCCTACCGGCCGCGGGACGCGTTAGCTCACCTCTGCCCGGATTCTTGTTCTCCCGAACAGTGGGGTTCTCGGTGCTATAGTAAGCCTCACTACTCCTGGACAGATTTTATAGCCCCGGTGTTACGGTGACATTTTTCATGTCGAAATGTTCATGGTGCTCGACGAATACGGCTATAGGTTTCCCGTTGCACGTAGAAGCTTCTAGGCGAACTTATACACTATTGCTTCTGATCAGTTGCCCCCGAAAACACCGTTAATTACACCCGATCGACTGTATGTTTTTTGATTACTACTTCATGATCTGAGTTTTCTTCATAAAGTCAATTCTATCCGTAACAAATTATTTCATCTAACGCAGTATCTTTAATTGAGTATTCAAAATAACTTCATTGAAGTTATTGATAGGCAATTTTCACTTTCCATGACTCTCTGGCAACTTCTTTTCTTGAACACAAACATGGTAATAATGTCGTAAAAGTTGTAATAAAATTAATTTATCATTTAGAAGGGATTATTTAAATTAAAAAGAGATTATTTAATTTTCCATTCCAAACTTTTAACAGTTTTTATGTTTCAATAACCTTTTTCACGTGATAAATTAATTTCACAGATGAAAATTATTTGAAAGTAAAAAATGGTGTACATACTCAAAAGATGTCTCGACTAAAAATGAAAATATTTTGAGGATAATGCAAATTAACGTTCATAGTTTTTCATGCAACTGAAAGACTAGATAACATAAAAATTAATTTTAATTTGTTTATATTTTTAACATATTAGTCGACTAAGTATATCGCTCCCTGCAAAAAATTGCTAATTTCTTTATATAAAGAAGAGGTCATTTAAAAAATATTTGAATTCTAATATGCTATTTTGTAATTGTTTGCACGAGTTTAAAAATAATTGTTTTTGTTATACGTTATGTAACTGTTATTGTGACAGTAACTGATTACTTGCAAACAAAATACGTAAAAATGTTCGTGCAGAATCTAACGAAACGTACGTAGTTCAATTTTGTGAGTATTATCTAATACTTTTGTGAGTATTATCTATAAATAGTTCACTTTTATGAATATGAAAGTTAATGATAAACTCTTAAGTTAATGATTTTTAATATAAATAAGTTAATGATCTTTTACAGAGAATGATGAGCTACATCGATTAGTATATTAAGAGTTATGTGATTCCATTCAACAAAATAAACTTGTCCTTCATATGATCTTCACGTATACACTTATAAATAACTTATAAACATCTGATTATGTCTCATTTGAAAATATTTAATTTGTTTGCGAATCATTTTGATATTATGAATAGATATATTCGAAGGGAGACATTGGAGATATTCGAAGGGATTTATCTTACTTTCGGTGAAAGTAGGTCAGTAGATACATTATAGGTCCAGGCTAAATTTCTAAGTTTGTATATGAATGTTAAAAGATAAACTAAGGATAGGTAATTAAATTAGATAGCTATTTTGAGAATTAATATCACCTTTACTGTTACTTCATAGCTACATAAATCCCAGCATACGTAAATGTCTGGTTAAAAAAAAAAAGAACAACTGACAACTTATAAATATCTTTTCAATAAACTGTTTCCGTATATAAAGAATGAGTATAATATCATGCAGAAATGACATACATACGTAACATATTCAGTAACGACAACTTAATATTACACAACAGATAAAAAAATTAAAAGAAAGTAAAAACTATAAAAATTCTTCTAACTTGAAGGAACTTTCTCGATTTTGGGTTGTCTTACTACTTACATGTATTTAAAATATTTTTATTTAAAATTGTGTATTTTACTTATGTTTTTTTTACTTGGTTTCATTACAAAATTATAAAATTCTATACGTTTTGATTTGCAGTTGAGTTTCGTACAAATTTCTGTTTTTACATTACATATATACATATTCGATATATCTACTTATGGGTAAACATTAACATTTTCATCATTTTTGGGAAATATAATCAAAATTTGGCTGAATAATGTGTTCCTTATGGAAAAGAAAAGAAAAAATTACAGAGTATAGTGTTTGAGAAAATCAAGTTTGAAGATTTGCTGCACCCCTTTGTTATCATCCACTTCAAAAAAAGACACGACACAAATTTTCGCAGACAAAATGTTAGTTTTTCAGTCGCAAAATCATTAAAATTGTCCTCGTTATAAAATGGATAGATATGTGCGTCTACTCAAAATATATTTTTTCATAAATGTATTCCCATACATAAAAGTCCTATAAATTTAATCGCATAAATGAGTGTAAAATCTTTATACTATGGAGGCTAGGTGGATGTTTCTGAATGCGTTATCTAACAATCTGTTGTTATTATCTGTTAACCCGTTGATTAGAATATAAAGCAATACATTAAAAATCTTTTTACATCTCGATTAAGATATCATGGAACACAATTGCCGAAAATAACATTACCGTAACAGTGCAGAAATGCGGTGAATTTTCAAACTTCAATCTCTTGAAAACTAAGTCTAAAATTAAAACATTTTTTTTTATATATTTTCCGTATTTTTCCACAAGAAATGAAGCAGCATTCGGTATTACTCGTCATTATGTCGGAATTAAAAAGAATACGAGCCTATTATAATTATAATGACACAAAGACTTTCGATTAAATTACTTATTTGTTAAAACGGTTAAATAACTACTAATTAGATCGTGTGATAGGAGATCGTTTAAAGGGACAATTGATTTCGCTCAAACTTCATACAATTATAAAGCATTTCATATCCTATTAAAAATAATAATTTTGGAAAATCATAGCACACAAAAGAAAGAAATAATATATTACGAATAAATATATATATTATGAATAAAAATTAAGTAAACAAAATTTTCTGTTTTCCTCTTATTTCTTTAAAAATAATGAAACGAAGAAAAATTATTCTCTTTTTATTTCATAAAAATATAAGCAAATACAAACATTTTTTCATTTGGTTTCTTCTATTAAGGCTTTTAAATATTTTCTTCTTTGATTAGTTTGAGAAGTTGAAGGCGATAAATAAAATATAAAAAAACTTATATAAATTGCGGGAGTCTCGAATTAATGGCCCCAGATTTAATAGATCGGCCACTTTTCTATTCCGCTGTCGTATATTCTTGATAAACTTTCAGATAAATCACCCTTTTATTTTAGAAAATAATCCGTTAAATTTTGCAAAATTATTACTTTTAATATTATTTATAATTATATGCAATTTTAATGAAATGCTACCGTATTTTTTGAACCATCATGCTGTAAACTCTAATGTTATCTGCAAAAGTAAAAAAGTTCAATCAAAACAGTTTTTCCAGTTTAAACATTTAAATTCAACAATAAGGTATACTAGTATTGCCTCGAAACAAGCAACAGCTTCGAAATTAGCAAATTTTTATTCCCACATCTTTGATTGAAATCCGACGCCGAGTGAGAGATTGGTGCGTAAAACAGAAGTTATGGAAAGAGTCGTGGAAAGAGGACAGAACATGTACTATATTGTTTTCTCACTCTATTATATAGCGATGTAATAAAAAAAACACAATAGTCGAATAGCAGACCACCTTCGAAATAAGCAACTCGTCGGTCTCATGCGTGTTCCTTATTTCGAGGCAATATTGTACTTACAAGTATAGCTGAATACTGTTTAAGGAATTCATTGCATATTACCGTTTTCCAGCTTTTATAAACAATGTGCAATAACATTGTCCGCTTAAATTATAGTTAGATTATAAAATCTATGATAAAAATTCAAGTACAATGAGAACGATTTTCATAAAATTAAATAATGTGATTTACTTATTTCTCTACACGTGCTATAAACTTTGGCTCCTTTTCTCCATTTGATGCGGTAGAATTTGCAATTTTAAGACTGGCCTGTGAAAACAATTAAGACAAATTTATATTGAATTTTAATTGCAGTTGTTTATATGATGAGAATGTAAGTTTTGTACTTACCTTTTTATAAATGGTCATTTTCATGTCATATGAAACAACTGTTTCCGTGATGCAGATCTGTGTAGGAAATATTTGTATAATCATAATATTTTCGAATTAATTCACAAAGATGTAATGAAAATAGGAGCATTCTACTTATTCTTTTGGATACATCGTGAATATTTCTATTTATATGTTTTTCCGGGTTATATAGGTAACTTCGTTTCTTTTGTGAGAAATGAATGACTAAGACTGCAAATGTAAACCAAGCTTTATCCTGAACTAAAATAGGGTTTATGACTTTAAAACTCTTTAATCGGTTAAGTTCTATGGAACTTACTGTGTACAATTCCTGTCAGCATGAACATTTCTTTTTTATCTTCATACATATAGATCATCTCTTTAGAACATTTGCCAGTAGCAGATGTAAGCTATTCATATCTTGCAATTTGCTTGATTGCGACTCCCCATTTCGATCTCGTATCCCATCGTTTAACATTTGTGGAGTGCTGCTATTTTTTTCTCATACTCGGGAGTGAAAACTATTTCTTCTATCTCAGGTTGTTCCGCACAAGGACCGTAATCCTTATCACACATTTGTCTTTTACGCCGCCTGGAAGATATATAATATCTTCTATTCTCGCTTTTACGTCGTTCTTCAATCTTCCTGACAAGGACTGGCGGTTCCTTATTTATTGCTCTACACATTCGGCTCACTGCCTCTTTTGTATTGTACTGAACGACAGCAGCGTAAACCCTACCCTGATACGAGCCTTTTAATCCAAAGTTTATTCGTTTGCCACCAATGTATTTCGCGATGATGGCATTAAAGACTTCTGCTGCATTATTATTCATACAGTACAGCAAACTTTGAATATTCTTGAAAAGCGGCTGCATGGCTTCCTCTATACGTTTATAAATACCTGCTTCCTTCAGTTGCGGAACATAGTTTATTACGTTGGGAGCAGAGTACTGGTTGCAGAAATATGCCAATCTTTCACAGTCCTTGTGTTCTCCGAAAACGTGGCTAGGCACGTTAGTTAAATCTGCTTTTAGTCTTTCAAGTTTTTCAACCAGTGGCAGGTTTTCGTTATAGCGGTATTGTGCAGCTTTCCTTATACAAGCGCGCAGACGGAGAGCGTTTTTTTTTACGACAGCTCTTAATTTTTGGCACCCACCTGTAGTGCCGATATTAGCAATTTTCTTACCGAAATTGCGTAGCATGTGATTGATACATTCAATTTTTTGTACACGCACCGAGTACTGTTTATACGGATCACGGTCCAATATCTTTTTGTAGACACTGCTATCACCATCGGCAATTAATATTGAATATATCAGGCCGTGCATTTTTATGCTGCATTCAAATCCCTCCAAAATAGCAACGCTTTCCATTGCAGTTGAACTCTGAGTTGTACCCCAATTTTTGAAGCAACGATGCTCGCTAGGTTTTTCTTTTTTCTTAGCCGCTACCCGGCAAGTTATGCAGACTTTATTCTTTACGCCAACATATAACACTTTCTTTGTATAATATCCAACAATAACTCCTACACCGGAAGGAGAATTATAATAACCACCTTTGTATGATCTTTTCATCCAGCTACCATCAGCGACAACTGGAATCCATGGTATGCCAGAGTCTGGACATACATCACCTCTTGCTATAGCTAGTTCTCTCTCTTTTTTACCAGCAGCTTCCATTTCCCACTGTGCAGCCAGTTCGAAGGCCTCTATTATTTTTGTTCTGTGTTTGTCGTATGATTGTTTGGACATACACGACACATTCAGACAAGCCAACATCTCCATCAGTTGAACATATCCGCCGCCTAATACCATTGTCGCGGAAACAGCGCTCTCATTGATATCTATAACGTCATTATTCTGTTGAATGCATGGTATATGTATTATCTGATTGCACATTTCACATTTTACAGAATATGTTATTTTCAGTCCATTCCGGTAACGTCCAATTATTTTAAAATGTCGAATGCTGCATCCGATGTTGGAATGATCGTCGAGTGTTAATAATTGATTAAAAACATATTTAAAATCGACAAAATCTATTCCTTCCAAAATTGGTTGTTCCTGCGTTTGCGGTTTTGCTTTTTCTACTATCCAATTGCATTCGAGGTCAGTATCATCCGAAATAGTTTCCTGACTCGAAGGTATAGTCTCTTGGCTTAAAGACATAATTTCTTGATTTAAAGCCTCGTAATCATTATTTAGATTTGATGTTTCTTGCGTTTCATCCAATATATCTTTTTCATTCTCTTTCGGTATTATAGCGTATACTTGCATAGTTCCGTTGATGCTGCTCATTTCACGTTGTTCCTCTTCATTGAAGTCGATTAGTTCCATACTTCCTTTAATAATTTTAAGCTCCTCGAGCTTTCCTTTATAGTCTTCATATATTTTACATAGAGGAAAACAGTTTAGACTGCACTTGCGAGAGCCTTTATTATTGAGTGGAAGACTTTGGTAGCAGATAATTCTACAATCATCTGCTTTTGTTTCGTTGCATTCAGCATCTGTTTTTATTTCGTTGCATTCGGCATTTGTTTTTATTTCGTTGTGTTCACCATCTGCTTTTATTTCGCCAACTTTAGTTTGGTCAGTTTGTTGATTTGCTTCATTATTTTGATCGTCGTTTGACATAGAGGCCGCTTTTTGGTTTCTTAACTTACGTCTGAAAAAATGTTTGACTAATGAGAAACATATATGTCCACAATAATTGAAGAAATATCTTGCAAAAAAGAGGGACAAGTATAGCAGAAGAAAGTAAGATCCCTCAGCATAAAATCATTGACACCCTTGTTTTTTTATATGATCTATTTAGTGTGAACTAAACATATTGTGTGCGAGAGAATGTAAAATAAACTTAAAAATATATTAGATTTTTGATGTACCGAAATTGGCCAATTCATAAGCAACAATTTAATAAGTAATAGATTTCATTTTACCATCGGTGTGTATTTATGTATCATATTTACACTCACATTTTTTAATCTTCCGATAGTTTAGGATCTCATTCTAACCTTTTTTTTATAATCGACCAAAATGGGGAGTCGGGATACTAATAACTAGAAGAGAAAGGGATATCTGCTTACGAAATCTGTATCTTAGAATACTCAAATATTCAAAGTTTAGGCGGCCCTCGACCTTCGCATATAATAATTCGTTCTGGAAATCGTGCGTGAATGTTGAATGTTTAAAAGTACAGGGAAGTAAAAAGAACTTCAAAAATTGTATGTTAAATACTTATTTATCAATATACATATATAATGAAGTTCACGAAATGTGTTTAGGTGCTTTTAGGTATTCTTTTTTATAAGGTTGTCAAGAGATAGTTGAATACCACCCTCTTTTCTTTTCTTGATAAAAAGTTAAGTTATCACATTAAGTTATCACATTTTTCCTTGTTAGTCAAAATACACAAAAGCTTCATTCATATTCTTGATTGTCAAAATCTTGGCGATTTTGACAGTTTTTTCTTCCTCAATTTCATTCTGTATTTCATTTAACTCTTGTTGCTTAATTAAGCATTCACTTGACAGAGGTACTCAGTGCGAATCAATGAATTCATTAACATTTTTTTAACTTCGTTGTCAAAGTTTAAGTTTAATTCATTCATGAAGTTAATTATTTCATCTATGATGGTGCTAGGAATTTTTTTCAGAATTTATAAAATCATTAGAAGTAGCAAATTGTGCGAAAGTAGAATGAAAATCAAGAGCTATTTGTATCCAAATATTCAAAACATTTGAATTTTTTGAAGTATTCGAATTTTAAATTCGAATTACGTTGATATATGAATACATATTCAAATTTCCGAATTTAGTTTACAACTTTACTACATATTCTGTAGTTCATAGTTTTAAAACAATTATACAGAGAATATTTCTATTTTACAAGACATTTTTCGCGAAAGCAATTAATCGTAAAGTAATTAGAACGGAATCCGGATTTATAAGGAACCGTACAGATAATCTTTCTCATTGTCAGTATATTTTCTTTCCTTGTTACACAATATTGAAGCTTAAACATAGTAAGGAAAAAGATAAAGAAATGCAAAGAATGATTTTTTATATGAAAAATCAGAACTTTTAAAAATTTCTAATTTTGTTAATATAATAACAATTTGATAGTATATTACAGGGGTCGGCAACCTGCGGCTCTTTGGAGAGGGGGGGGCTTCGGATAACCGAAGATTCGCGAATTGTTCGAATGCCGAAAATCGAGAATATCATCGCGTGAATATAAGGGTGTGTCCGCGGTGCGAGCGTTAGAAGCTAATAGAGAATAACGAGAGACGAGCGAGTGTGCAACGACGATTACGATCACGATTACGGTTACGGTTACGATTACGATTTCGATTACGGTTTTACGGCTTACGGTTTTACGAATCACGATTTTTGGACTTTTTGTACTTTTGTTGCTTGTGCGTGCGTGTGTGTATATTTTTGTAAGTTTTCGTGTACTTTTTGTTCGCTGTTTTATCGTGCTCTTTAATAAAGGCCTAGTTCTTAAAAATACTAATCCTACGTATGCAAATATTATTTATTTTATTAAAAAAAAAAACATTAAAAAAAAAAAAAAAAAAAAAAAAAAACATTTAAAAATCGTTCTGAATCTATTAACGAGGATTAGGCACCGATTCTATCTCTCAGCCACTTGTACTCGCTTTTCACCGCACCCCTCCCCTGAGACACGCGTCGTCACTGTCGTCAGTCCGTCGGAAGCTCTTGAATGACGCCATCGTCGGATGTTTTTCTTATGAATAAATAGATTAGTTCTTTTTATCAAAAAACTTTATGTTAGAAAATAGAAATTAACGAACGGTCGACACAGGCCATCCGCTTTTTGTCATTGCACTTCCTCTTCCTCAGGGAACTTCGCTGGGCCCAAGTGCCCTAAACAGCCACGCTGACGGGGGTGTCTTCAAGACAGGATCGTGTCAATGAAAACACTCTTGTATTGGCATTTGCCGTGAAAAGTCGCAGTAAAACATTGCAGTATTCTTTTAAATTGCGCCCACTAGTTTATTTGGTAAACCTCACCCGTTACCAATAACATTCCTGATTATCTTACATTTATTTATGCGAGTACTATTTATTGTTGGTAAGAAAAAATTTTGAGGCTCTTTAAAAACTTTGAAATTTTGTAAATTGTAATTTTTGACTCTTCCAACTCAAAAGGTTGCCGACTCCTGGTATATTACAATGATATAACATGGTATTCTATAAAATAGATAATATAGTAATGCGTGTTTCAAAACTAAATATTTATTTTTACGTATAAGGAGTAACTTGGGAGGAAGAAAAGTATATTGAATAGTGAAAAAGAAGTGGGCTTATAAATTAAAACATTCATGAGGGTTATGTACATAGAGGGTGTGGTTCACTCCGAGTTTAATGACTATCTGTTCAACTGTTTCGATGTAACTGATGTCTTGTAGGCAACGTGTGTAGTTTCGTCATAATGGAGTGCTCTAAACTACTGTTAGATAACGGACTAAATTCAATTTTCAAATGTCATCATAAAGAATATTGAATCTATACTTTTGTTGGTGTGCCATTTATCTCCTATGTATAGTAAAGGCTAATATCCGTCTTTGGTTTAGCTTTTTATCCTATACATTATAAATATTTATAAAGACGACAGTCTAACAATAAGTCTAAATCGAATTATTTAACTATTTTTTATTCTTCGAAGATGTAAATTAGAGTAGTCTCCGCTAAAATTCAACTGCTTAAGTGTTGGCTCTAATTTTATATGCTAGATATTTTTTAGAAAAGAGAACCGTTCCCAATTAAGGTGCTGAGGTAAGTGCCGAAAGGTCAAACTCAATCCTTACCTCCGCACTCCGTGGCCAGAACCTCAAGGAACAACGTCCCTATTCGACTAAGTAATGCAATAACAAACTATTTATCCTTTTCTACAATCTCAGAAATTAACAAAACACACAGTCCTGCGACATCTAACGACCATACGACTCCAAGTTAATAGCCATCGTCTATCGTCTCACTTGGACTCTCATAAACAACCTTTCGTTCAGACCTTACGTAGTCTATCCCTATCATAAATTGTTCAAAGGCAAAATAGCACAGGCTAATTGCCCTCGATGACTCTCCAAAATACGTTGACGCTAACATATAATTTATAAATTGGAGGTTGAATTTTGGTTTCTATCATCTCCTGTGTAATTGGATATGATGAGAACATGTATTGTACAATTGACGAACGACTTTCCTGAAATATCAACGTTGCCAAGTCTTTACATTTTATTATGGATGTTTTCGTACTTAAGTTCATGTGTAAGCCAATGTGGAAGCCTTATGATGTCTTTATTAAAATTTTATAATATTCATATCATGTTTTGTCAATCAGTATAATTATACTGATACTAGATTACTATAATTTAAATTATGTTTATGTTATCTCTGTTACATGTTAATGTATGTATCAGAATCTTTGTACTTTCGAGAACTTGTTATCAATTTCATGTTACGATTATCCACACTTTTTGTTTAGATAGTGATAGCAAATGAAATTTACTTATAAAACTCTACTAAATCGTCACTTTTAAGATATGAAAAGAAATTCATAAAAATGTTATTGACAATATTAATACTTAAATTTTTCAGATAATTAGTCGTAATGAAATAGGACTGATTTAAGGAAAATTCTTGTTGTAATTAGTTACATAAATAATTTCTTTAACAATTCATATTTTATTCAATCAAAAAAAAATTTTTTTATATCAATGATTTAGTTGTATTCTTATATAAAAGAATGTAAAAGAATAAAATAATATTAACACCTCTAACAGAGAGCGAACTAACAGTAAAATAAATTTATAATCTTGGCCCACAATTTGTGCTTATCGCAGAGTAATATCGTTTATTCAACAATCGATGCGACAGTTCGATACAGTGGGAGGAAATAAATCACAACGATAAAAAATATTACGGTCTAAGTTTTCCGCATCAAGAATAATGGGCAATTCTTTCTACGTTTCTTATTCTTCGAATTTGCCGTTCGGACCGTAGTCCCGCGGCTATTGGTTTCGGCTGGTAGAGTCAAACATGCGGCACTTACTGCAGTAATAAGATCGTTTTTATGATTTACTACTCAAATCCAAATGTTTTTGCTAACAATCAGTATATTTCTATATGTATATTATATCTTGAAAATTAATAAAGATCGGGTAAATACATGAAAAAAATATTGTTCCATTTAAAAAACGAAACTTCATCATTAATAATATTAAAGGAATTTGTTTCTGCCAAAACATAGAGCTCCTTTTATCCTGCAATTCCTATACATATAAACGCTCTTTCGTGTCACCACTAATTCAAGAAATATCGCGTTGTTACACTTAGCCGTGGATATCCTGTATGTTTGATGAAAAAGAAAATGGCAGAAAATAGTTCATTTTTTATAGCTTAGGTATAAAAAATATTCATAGGATATAATCCTATAAATTCTAAGAATTATACAAACACAATTATTTACTGGCAATATTATGAGAAAATTATAAAAAACAAGACAGTTGATGTATGACGTGAACATGGCAACAAAATAATAATTGCTAATTTCAAATGATCATAATTTTGTAATAAATAAATGAAATTTAAAAATTAGAATTTTATTTTGTAGAAAATAGTCGGCATTTATATGTATTATACATAAATAATGATTGACAAAAATATTTCTTAGTATTCCCTGGAAATAAATTACTTACTATAATTTATCTAATAAAACAAAATTCAATCAATCACAATAAAAGAGAATACATTATGTTATTTTTTTATTTGATAGTTTTGTACGAAATCAACACTTAAGAGTTAAATATGAGATTTAAGCTTACGTTTGATTTGACACACAGACATTTGCACGCGAAAGGCATTTAATAACAGTTTAATAAGACAATTCAATTTCCATTCGTTGGTTCCTTTTTTAGTATAGTCTTATTACTGACGGAATATAAGTGAAGATGTAATACTGCAATAAATTTTTTATCATACGAATTAAGAAATATATTATGAGTCTATTTTAAGTAGTCCAAAAAATAACTATTTTCGATGTGGGAGTAAAAAAAAGAGAATATCGATTTTTTTTTACACAGTCTAATGGGTATACAAGCCGAATTATTAAAACAACTTTTATTTGATATAGAATTTATAAAATGTGACAGTTTCGTAATACTTTTGTGCAGTAACTAGGAATGTAAATATGATTGTTTATTACAACATATAATCTAATGTAATTTTCAATCTGTGTAATTTTTTTAATAACAGCTTGTGAACTTAATACAGTAATTTTTAGAATGTCAATTTTTTTAACTCCATAAGCGTTCTACATGGTTTGTCCGGAAAGTAATGCAATTAGGTACGTAAGAAAAATGTATTCTTGTTATTGAGATAAATCTTTAAAATTCTTTAAAGTACACGCTTTGGTTTTCAATACACTTTTAATGGGAACTAAAATAATGCTTTCGTCACAGCGGTTTGAATCGCTTCTATGGTTCCAAAATGCATTCCTTTGAGGGCAGAATTGATCCTCGGGAACAGGAAAAAATCTGCTGGAGCAATGTCAGGACTGTAAGGAGGCTGTGGTAACGTTACCAAGCTGTGTTTGGCTAAAAATTCTTGGACGCGCAAATCGGTATGACTGGGAGCTTTGCCGTAGTGCAGCTACCATGTAGCGGAGATCTCTTTTTGATCTGTGATCATTTGAACACTCATTCGTTGATCACTAATCAGAAGTTAATAGTGTCCTAGTAAATGTTGCATTTTCGTCAATTCTGGTACTTGTCCGCCGTCCAGAGCGAAAGTCATCTTTCATGTTTTCCCGACTGTTCTTGAACAAATTCAACCACTTGGAAATTTGAAAATAAGAAAGAGCAGAATTCCAGTATGACTTCTTAATCATTTGGTTGGTTTTGGCGAGGCTTTTATTCACTTTAACACAGAATTTAATCGCATAACGTTATTCGATAGCTTCCTCCATTACGCGTCATGACACGGGCACTAATAATAGGCTTACGTTTATAACGATTCTGCGAATTCGCGAACATATAAAGATAAGAGTCCTCTCCACATATCCCAACAAGTTCGAACACGTTCGGACTAGGAAAAATGCCGAAAATAAACAAATTGCATTACTTTCAGACCATGTACATATTCGTAACTACACAATTAAAGACAAAAACTTTGTGTACTGATTCAAACACTTGAAGTGGATAAAGAAAGTGCAATATGGTTTATTTTTATGCTTATTTGAAGTTTTTACTTTCGAATGTTTTGTAAAACTATTATGCATTCATCTCTACACTCGAATACAATGCAAAATATTCCAATCTGTAAAGTTTTATATTTTCAAATTTTGTAAATTTTAAAATTTTTAAGATTTCCGAAATTTAAAATCTTCAACTTTTCAAATCTCTTAACTCCAAAATTACTAGATCCAAAAAATTTATTACATTCTCGAATCCTTGAATTTCCAAGGTTCTAGACCGTCAAATCCGTTGATTTCCATTATTCTAAATCTCCAAATCCCAAATTTCTACATTTCCACATC